CATGGGTTATCTCATGTGATCATTGTAAGAACCCTAAGGAGGTTATTCTTCCTATCCTCCATTTTACAGGTAAGAAAACTGAGGCTCAAAGAGGTTAAATCAGTTGTTCCAGGCACATAGCTTGGGCACCTAGCTTGTAAGGCGAGCCCAGTGCCACCCACACCAGCTCTGGTTCTTTGCCTCCAGCCCTGGCTCCTTTCTCCGACCATCTTCCCCCTCTGCCCCTGGCAGGTGGGGAGAAAAGGAAGAAAGAGAGGCCCATGGCATGTGTTTCGGCTTCCCTTTCCCTCTCTGCTGGTGCCCACTGGCCCTCACACCCATTTCTTGTTGCAGGAAGGTGAACAAGTGCTACCGGGGCCGCTCCTGCCCCATCATCGTGCACTGCAGGTGGGTGGAAAGGAGGTCCCTCTCTCTGGTCCAACTCCCTGTGTGCGTCTCCTGTGCACATTGCCTGCCTGTCCCCTTGGTGCTAGCAAACCAGGCATGGGCCAAATCCAGCACACCACCTGTTTTTAGTGGCCAATACCTAAGAATGGCATTCACATTTTTAAATGGGTGAAGAAAAAAGAAGAAAAGTATGTGACACAAACTGTATGTGGCCCACAAAGTTGAAAAATATTGACCATTGGCCCCCATACACAAAAAGTTTGCTGAAGGCTAGAGAGGCCCATCCAGTTCCCTCCTGTTGCCTACGCTTCAGGGCTGAGCCATGGCTCTCCTCTTTGGTTGTCCTATTGCCCAAGTGACACCCACAAGTCACAGACTCCCCTCTCAAGGCCCAAGTCCCAGCGTGCAGGTGCTATGAGCTTTCCTTCATCCTCAGCTCACTCACTCCTTCTCCAAGCCAACCCAAAGGGGTCACCCAGTGTCCTCCCCTCCCCCAGGCCTTCAGGCCTCCTCCATCCCTCCTCCTTTCTGCTGCATTGCAAGCTAAACCTGTCACTAACTCCTGTTTCAGTGATGGTGCGGGGAGGACCGGCACCTACATCCTCATCGACATGGTCCTGAACCGCATGGCAAAAGGTAGGGAGCTTCCCCATGGCGCCCGCAGCCCCCAGGCCCTTTTTAGAGGCTCCCCAGCACACAGGGTTGGGAGCTCAGAAGGAGCAGGTTGTCAACCTCTAGGCTCTGCCCAGCCCTCCAAAGCTCTTCGCCTCCAGGAGGCCCCAGGTTTTCTGGGTCCTGTCCTCCTCTGGACATCCCCTGAGCAGTCCCATCCCCACCCCCATCTCCAGGAGTGAAGGAGATTGACATCGCTGCCACCCTGGAGCATGTCCGTGACCAGCGGCCTGGCCTTGTCCGCTCTAAGGTGACCTTGCCTTCCTGCCCCAACCCCAGCTGCCACCCTTCCCTAGCACCCACTTCCTGGCCACCCCAGGGAAAGCAACAGCTGCCAACCTCTCCCACCTGCCTCTGTCCCTCCTCCAGGAGGACTCCCCTCCTCCCAGGGGACCTGCCCAGGGCCCCACACCCCCACCGAAAACTCCCCACTTTGAGGGCAGAGCAGAGGTCAGGCCTCTCCGTGACCATCCTGCCACTGCCCTTCCCCAGGACCAGTTTGAATTTGCCCTGACAGCCGTGGCGGAGGAGGTGAATGCCATCCTCAAGGCCCTGCCCCAGTGAGACCCTGGGGCCCCTTGGCAGGCAGCCCAGCCTCTGTCCCTCTTTGCCTGTGTGCGCATCTCTGTGTACCCACTCCTCACTGCCCCACCGGCCACCTCTTGGGCATGCTCAGCCCTTCTAGAAGAGTCAGGAAGGGGAAGCCAGAAGGGGCACGCCTGCCCAGCCTCACGCATGCCAGAGCCCGGGGCATCCCAGAGCCTGGGGCATCCCACGGGGGTGCTGCAGCCAGGAGAAGAAAGGACGTGGGCACCAACTCTACCCAGAGCCTTCTCCTGCCTACATTCCCTGGCCTGGCTCTCCTGTGGCTCTCCTGTGTTTCTGGGAGCTCCCCCAACATCTATGTGTGCCCCTCTATGCTCCAATGTGGAAGAACAGGGTGGAGGGTCGCCACACCTGGCTCCCCTTGCTTCTCAGCCCCAGGCCTGCCTCCTTGACTCACACTTGGGCGCTCCGCCCTCCCTGGCCTCATGCCCAGCCTCCTCCCACCACCCTCCCACCATGTGCTGCTCAACCTCTCTCCTTCTGGCGCAAGAGAACATTTCTAGAAAAATCTACTTTTGTACCAGTGTGAATAAAGTTAGTGTGTTGTCTGTGCAGCTGCAACCCAGACTCCTACACATTTCTGTCCGCTGGGCATCTGGACTCCAAACCCAGCCTAACCCCGGAGCCGGTCCCTGCTGATCTCTCAGAAGGTGCAGAGAGCACAGCGGGAGAACACCAGCTGCCAGTAAGGCCCTCCTAGGCGGGAACGCTAGGTTAGAAAGCGGCTTCCTACGTGGCCAGCAGTCTCCAAGGTGCTTTACATGATGAGTCTCATTTTACAGATGGAAAGACTGAGGCACAGAACTTGTTTGTGGTAACACATAACACAACTTGTAAGATTGTAAGGTGGCTGGGCGCAATGTCGCACACCTGTAATCCCAGCACTTTGGGAGGCTGAGGCAGGCAGATCACCTGATGTCAGGAGTTGGAGACCAGCCTGGCCAACATGGAGAAACCCCATCTCTACTAAAAATACAAAATTAGCCGGGCATGGTGGCTCGCGCCTGTAATCCCAGCACTTTGAGTGGCCGAGGCAGGCATATCACCTAAGATCAGGAGTTCGAGACCAGCCTGGCCAACATGGCAAAACGCTGTCTCTATTAAAAATACAAAAAAAAAAAAAAAAAAGGCAGTGTGGTTGGTGGTGGGCACCTGTAATCCAGTACTTGGGAGGCTGAGGCAGGAGAATCGCTTGAACCCGGGAGGTGAAGTTTGCAGTGAGCTGAGAGCGGCCACTGCACTCCGAGCCTGGGTGACAGAGCAAGACTCTGACTCAAAAAAAAAAAAAAGAAAAAGAGGAGATGATAATAGATAATAATAGATATAGAGATAGACTAGATAGATAGATGTAGCACAATTGATTGTTAGATAGTTTGAAGGTGGAGTTAAGAGTTTGCACCTGGCTGACTAACCTCCTCTCTACTACCTCTCCTCTCAGTTCTTTTTTTGTTTTGGGGGTTTTTTTGGAGACAGAGTCTTGCTCTGTCACCCAGGCTGGAGTGCAGTGGTGCGATCTCGGCTCACTGCAGCCTCTGCCTCCTGGGCGCCAGCGATTTCCCTGCCTCAGCTGCCCGAGTAGCTGGGATTACAGGCATGCACCACCATGCCCGGCTAATTTTTTGTATTTTTAGGAGAGACGGGGTTTCACCATGTTGCCCAGGCTGGTCTGGAACTCCTGAGCTTCAGAAAATCTGCCCGCCATGGCCTCCCAAAGTGCTGGGATTACAGGCAGGAGCCACCGCGCCCCGCCTCCACTCAGTTCTTGGCAGCTGCTTTGTGCCTTTCTGCTGCCAGATTGAGGTAAGGCCTGAACAAGATGATATTAGCAAAGTGCCTGCCACACCTTAGGCAAAACTATAGCAAAACTCTGACAGTGAGTTCAGGTTGGGCCTGTGAGATGCTAGGACAGGCGTTCCCCTGGGAATAAAGGACACACTGTCTCACCGCAGCTCCCAGAACCCTCCACCCTGTATGGCCACAGAAGGTATACTCACCTGCATGTCATGAGGTGTCCTTGGACAGAAGTGGTGGACATGAAATAAGGCAAAAAGAGCCTTAGGCCTGGCGTTACTTGGGAGTTAGGGCCACTTAGCTATGCTGAGACTCAGTCTCCTTAAATAAAAAACAGGGCAAACACCATCTGCCCTGGAGCCGGAGTGAAGGGACCCGCCAGCTGACCACAGGCAGTCCCGCTGTTTCACCCACACTCTGCTGAGGTTCAGCACCAGTGATAGCCATCTCAAGGGCTAGACAGATGTAGATGAAACAGCCATTTGCAAACTTCCACCCGACTCAGCATGGAAGTTTGAAATTCCTCTTTCAGGGTAGGCTGCTTCTTAGCTTTGAGAAAAATATAGTAGAGGCCCTTTGGTGATTGATGCTGAAGCAAGAGCCCGTCCTAGAATGGAAGAGAGGCCTGGCCACCCAGCCCTCCCTGACAACGGAAAGGTGCTTGTCCCAGCACGGTGGCTGGAGATGAAAGGGAAGGGGTACCTGGCTTTTTCTTCTGTGGGCCCTGGGCCCTGGGCGGGCTGGACTCGTGCCACTCCACGTGCCACTGGCTCACACCTTGGGCTGAGCCAATGAAACCTGCCCAGGGGCTTAGTCTGTGGGCCTCGCGGGGTACAGTTTAAAGGTTTCACTGTGTGTTCTCAGCTTTCTGTGCTTTTAGTCTTTTTTTTCTTTCTTTTTTTTTTTGAGACAGTCTCACTCTGTTGCTCAGGCTGGAGTGCAATGGCTTGATCTTGGCTCACTGCAGCCTCTCCCTCCCAAGTTCAAGCGATTCTCCTGCCTCAGCAGCCGAGTAGCTGGGATTATAGGCATATAGGCAGGCACCACCACATCCGGTTTTTTTTTTTTTTTTTTTTTTGGTATTTTTTTAAGTAGAGACGGGGTTTTGCCATGTTGGCCAGGCTGGTCTCAAATTTCTGCCCTCAAGTGATCTGCCCGCCTCAGCCTCCCAAAGTCCTGAGATTATAAGCATGAGCCATCGCACTCGGCCTCAGTTAAGTCTTAACTGAGTATGGTCCTAGCTGTGCTGTGAAGTGCTAAGGGGTGAGGCCCCTCATAAGGGCAGCACCAGCTGCTAGAGAAAGCTGGTTGTGGGCCCCCAAGAGGTGAAAGGAAAGAATGGAGCATTGCCTGGTGTTCCATAACATACTTGGGGAGGGCAGCCTGGTCAAAGAGGGCACTTCTGCCTTCAACTGGCAAGGCCTGCACCTCTAGCTGTAGGGGCATAAAGGGAGGTGTGAGGCCTGAAGTGTCACCCACTGTCCCTTAGAGGCCCTCCTGGGCCACTCCGGAAAGTAGGAACACAAGAACACAACATGCCACCGAGCTCTCAAAACTCAGTTTTATTGACTTCCAGCATTTCCCCCTGGATCTGAGCTCAGCCCAGCTGGTTTTGGTTCGTCTCTGAGGCTCAGTGTTAACGGCGGCTAGCTCCACCACTCCCCTCCCTGGCCACCGGGATCCCCAGGCAGGGAGGAGGAGAGGCGGCTCATCTGTGATGTTGGAAAGAATGGGCAGCAGGGTCAGAGGCCAAAGAAAGCCATACAAGCAGCAGCATGCCTGGAGCTGCCATCACATGCCAAGCCCCACCACACACACGCCCCTGCGGGTGGCCTTGCCCTCAAAGCTCTCTGCCACCCACACTCCTCAGCTTTCTGGGGCCACACTCTGCTCAGGCGGACATGCTACTCGCCCTGGCTTGTTCCTGGGACCCCAGGCTGCCCATGGGAAAGGAACCTCTCCCAGGTGCTGCACGGCTCTGCCCTGCCCACTCTAACCCTGGGGCTAGCAAGATGTGTCAGGGGAACCAATGCTCAGATCATTCCTCCTTCATCTACAACCCTGCCAGCCCTCCAGGGATAAATCAAAAGACAAAATCTCCCCATCTCACAGCGAGTGACAAGCCGACCTGGGCTACTACATGTCCCAAGATGCACAGCTCAGTAACCACGCACCACCTCCCCCAAGCGGGATCTATCAGAAATGAGGCCGGGCGCACCGCACTCTGGGATTTGTAGTTCCCAGGGCGCACCGCACTCTGGGATTTGTAGTTCCCAGGAGCCAGCACGAAACACCCAAGGAAGAGAGTGCACAGGCTAAGACTACTGCCGCCTCCCACCCGGCCCCCACCCACTACCCAGGCCCCAGCTCTACACTCAGCATGGGTGAGGGGGAGAAATGGAGGGTCCCCTCCCAGCACATGGGGGAGGGCGCTGTCCTGTTGGAACTGTGCAGCGATTCTGGATCCCGGCATCCAGCTCAGAACACATCTGGGGAGAGAGCGGGGGCGGGGTGACAGGAGAGAGCATCAGCGGCAAGCTGTGGAGGACGGGGCTCAGCATGCAGACCTGGGCTGGCCGCATGGCCTCTCCCTGAGCCCTGATGTATGGTAGGGAAGCAGTATGGGTGCAGTTCCCACCTAGGCCTCCCTCCTGGTTCCCCCTGGTCCTATCCCACCTCTTCAGAGTGAGTCAGCCTCACCTCTGCCTAGTCCTGAGGGTGAGGGCAGGCTGAGGCAATGGGAAGAAGGGAGGAGGAGTGGGCTCCAGTTCTGAATCCGGACAGCTGAGAGGCTCCCGCCCCACCCAGCTAGCCTCCCCAGAAGACCTCACAGCCCTACCGGCCCCAGCATCTTCCTCGCCACATTGAGGCCTTCTCGGGGAAGGAAGGAAGAAGGGAGTCCTAGCCAGACGGCAGTGAAAGCAAGCGATGCGGCCCGCAGGGAGTTGCAGAGAGAATGGGAGGGAGGAGAAGCAACACCAGAAGAGAAGCAACAGAGACAGTCAGAGCACAACATGGCACAGAAACCAGGGTTGGGGGTCTGCAGCTGGACCAGGAGAGCAGGAGGCTCCACTCCGCCTGCGCTGCTCCCCAGTGGAGCTGCCGGCTCCGGCTCAGACAACCCTAAGCCAAGTCCTCCTTCCTTGACACCATCAGCAACACAGGTGGCAGAGGACCTGGGCACAAAAGGCCCAGCCCAAACCACTAATTCCCCTTGGAGCTCCCCATCCAATAAATGCAACCTGGCTCCTCGGGCCCTTCCACTGTCCTGACACCCCCCACCCTGGGTTTCACCAGGGACCTATCAGTCCTGGGCTGAGCACAGCAAATCCCAAGTCCACAGTGGGGTGCGGGGGGCCTGGGAGGGAAACTCGTGGAGGGAGCATGGAGTTGCAAAGCAGTTCCTACAACTCAGGATACTCCCCTCTGCTCTTCCCACAGTGAGCCAGACCCCCAGTCAAGACCTGGATCAGGTCAGGTTGGGCCTGGTGGTCAGAGGATGAGGCAGCGAGAGGCCTTCTCCTCTGGGGATGGGCTGCGTTTGGTTGCTTCACCCCTCGCACCCTCCTGGGTCCCTCCCAAGCCTGGATCTTGGTGCTGGGCCTTGGGCCGCCCCTGCCGTCGGTGCTGTGCCTCCCGCCCACCTGCGGGTTTCTTCCCAGCTGCCTCCATCTCTGACAGGCTGTAGGCCATGGCCAGCTGCAGGTCCTCATCCTCAGAGAGGTCGCTGTCCAAGGGACATGAGGCAGGGGTCTGCTGGACCTGAGTGCCCCCAGACCTGGAAGTGACTGACGGCTGCTGCTCACGACGGCTAAGCTCCAAGCCCAGTGCCAGGTCATCTGGGACACCTGCAAGAGTCACAGCCACCATGAGGCCCCAACCTGAGCCGGGGTATTACTGCCAGGTTGCCTCACACAGTAACGACCTTGACCACTTAAGAGTCTCTCATTTGGAATTGGCACACATGCATTTTGGCACCTAGGGTTGTGATTTTGAGCACAGGGAAGTATTCAGCTCTACCAGGTAGGAGCTCCTACCCTTGGGCAAGTCACTCAATATCTCTACCCCTCCCTTTTCTCATCTAGAAAGTGGGAATGACGGCCGGGCACAGTGGCTCATGCCTGTAATCCCAACACTTTGGGAGGCTGAGGTAGAAGGATCACTTGAGCCCAAAAGTTCGAGACTAGCCTGGGCAACATAGTGAGACCCCAACTCTACAAAATATTTAAAAATTAGCTGGGCATGGTAACACACGCCTGTAGTCCCAGCTACACGAGGGGCTGAAGTGGGAGGACTGCTTGAGCTGAGGAGGTCGAGGCTGTAGTGAGCCATAATCGTGCTGGGCTGGGCACCAAAGCAAGACCCTGTCTCAAAAAAAAAGAAAAAAAGAAAAAGAAAATGGAAATGATAGTGCCTTCATACTCAAATTGTTCCACTGATTAAATACGTCAGCCCATGTAAAGGGCTTGGTGCACAGTGCTCGGAGTCAGCAGGCAGGAAAGGTGAGCTATGGTGACGGTCCTGCACAGCAAGGTGTTGCAGAGACAGCTCTACTCCGGGAATCATGCGTCCTGAGTTTGACTCCTGGCCCTTCCCCTTACTTGGAAGAAAAGAGTCTTGAGCCTGGGCTACTTGGAAGTTAGGGTCATTTAACTATGCTGCAGCTCAGGCTCCCCAAACTAAAACTGAGTGGATACCATCTGCCGTGTGTACTCCCCCAGATGCTTGAAGAATACAGAGGATATCGTATATCTGGAAGTGCTTTAAAAATAGTAAAGTGCTTTGCAAATGTAAGGCACCCCACTCACAGTGACGGCGATGGCTTCGTGAGACTCCTCCGCCCCCTTCCCAGCATTGCCATCTCTGATCCTACCAGTCTGGCCTGTTGCCACTCCCTCCCAAGCCCCAAGCGAGTTCAGAGAGCAGCAGTTTGGGGAGGAGGCTGCTGAGGTTGGGGCTGGGGCTTCCTGCCAGGGGCTGGGTGGTGGAGCCACTCCTCACCATTGATTGTGACTGACTTCAGCTGCCCATCCTCCTCCACTTCCACCCGCTCCTGCCCGTTCTCCATGATTCTGTGAGAGATAGCACAGTTCAGGCAACGAGCAGTGATGGACTCCTGCAGGTGCTGGTCACAGTTCTGGCCACCGCAGTAGAGAGTGCAGACTGGGCCCTGCCCTCAAGGAGCCAATTTTCTATTTGAATACAGCTACCCAGCAGACCTCTTACACCTCTATGGCCCCAGAAGGAGCTCTTACCTGCGTGTGGTGATGCGGCGTCCTTGGACAAAGGTGGTGGATGTAGAAACAGAGCGAAAAGCACCAGCCCCGGGACTGAAGGAGAAAGATGAGGAGGAGAAATCTGGCATCGGGACAAGGGAGAAGGAGGAGAGGTGGTTAGAAGAAGACTGCGCTGCCTATCGTGGTCACCGAGGCGCCAGGCCTCCTTGCAGGGCTGCTGGAGGCAGGGCTCCCAACACAGGAGACAGGCTTGGAAAAGCAACAAGCTCAGTCCAAGGGTTCCAGGAATCGGAGCTTGCAAAAGTGGGAAGGGGCAAAACTTACCAGAGTGCCCAGGGAAGGAGGAAGAGAAGGTAAAGAAAGGGCCTGAGTGTCGGGAACCCCGGTTCTGAAGCTCTGAGAAGGGGCCCAGGTCATCTGCAACAAGTAAACAGATTAGCAATCCTCTGGTAATGACATTTCCCCCCAAAAGCGTGTGAGCCCTGCTGTTAAGTCTGGAAGTATAAATGCTAAGCAACTGGGTAGGGTTTTTCTTTTCCGCTTTTTAGTTGGGCTTATTTATAATTAAATTCCTTTTTAATGTTGAATTCGAAGACGCTCACTAGTTAATTCTGTCCACAATAAAGAATAAAGGAAGGAAGGAGGGGGCAGAGGGATGGAGGACAGATGGCTCTTTCAGTACAGGCAAATCATCATGACGCGATGACAGGCAGACACAGCTAGGAGTCCAGCTCTGCCATGTGCTATGTGACTCTGAGCTATTGGCTGTGCCTTGGTTTTCTCATCTGCAAATGGAGATAAAATTGCCCACCTCTCAGGGTTCACTAGAGAATTAGGGAATGTAAAATATTTGGCACGTATCAATCATTAAAAAATACCAGTATCTGTTTTATAGGTAATAATAATAATATTGTTAACAAGATGCTTTGAGTCTTGCTTTCACAGCTCTTACTGTAGAGGTCTAACAGCGTATTATTGTCGTTGTCATTTAATAAACTGAGTCTGTGAAGTGTCACTGTTGGATCACGGGGGTTCTGGCACATGTATGGTTCTGTCCCAGCTCTCACTGGACCCAGCTCCACAAAATCTTCTGTCCATGGCATTCCCATCCCCTCTCAGCCTTCTACCTCAGGGCCTCCCAAATGATAGAAGGACAGGCCTGGAAGGGGAATTTGAGCCATTCAGAGGCTTCCGGCGTCCACTCACCAAAGAGCTCTGCAAAAGGGTCTCCACTCCCGAAGAATTCCCGGAAAACCTCCTCGGGGCTTCGGAAGGTGAAGGTGAAGCCAGGCCCACCACTGCCAGCTTCTGCCCGAGATGGGCCAGTTCCTGGAAAGGCAGGATAAGGAGAGAGCTTAGGGCATGCATCCTGCCCTGACCTGGGGACCTCACCTAAGGCATGGCCAGGAGTCTGAGAAAGCCTCCACTGCAAGAATCTGCCCTGCCCCTCTCCTCCCTGCCCCACCTCCATTCCTGGACCTCGTCACTCCACCTACCTGTCCCCGTCAGCCCTTCCCGGCCATAGCGGTCGTAAATCTCCCGCTTGTGCTCTGCAAAAAGAGACCAGATGATTTCACCCTCCCTCTGGGATGGCCTCTCCTTCCAGGCTAGGACACTCAAAGGATTGTCCAGAGACTGACACTCTGACACTTGGCGGGGGAAGGCAGGCACAGCAGGGGACCCATGGCACCCCTGCCATAGGTTTAGGCAGCAACTCAGCCTTTCACACAGCCGACCTCTTCTCATCTGGAAAATGGCTGTCATCACAGCACTTAACGCACAGGGTTGTAGCAAAGATCACATGAGACCATCCACGTAAACTGCCTACCAGTGCCTGACACATAGGAAGTGTTCAATAAATGTTAGCTAATGATTACTACATTATTATTCACCGGGGCTTAGCATAAATGTCACCTCCTAAGAGAGGCCTTCTACAACCACCAGAACAAAAGCAGGTGCACGTTATTCCCTAACACTCCACCTGCCCCGTTTCTTCCCTCTAGAATACTCTTCACAAGTTGTAACTGTCTGTGTGTGTGCCTGGTGAGTGTTGGTCTTCCCTGCCCCTCTGGGCAAGGACAGTGCCTGCTTGTCCTCCAGTTTCCCCAGAACCCAGAGAGTGCCTGACACTGTCAGCATTCAGTGAATTACATTTTGAATGAATCAATAAAAAGGCCGACCTGGATTCATATTCCAGCTCTGCATGGCCTTGAGCAAGTTACTTCACCTCTCTCAGCCTCAGTTTCCTTGCCTGTAATATGGGGGTGATAGAACCTGCCTCATAGGACGGCTGTGAGAACTCATGGAGATGACACCCACCAATGCCTGGCATGCAGGAGGCTCAGCTCACATGAGTTACCTGCCCTGCTTCCTTCTCCTTGCAGGTCTCATGCCAGTCACTCCTACCAGACTCTGGGGAGCAGATACTGAGCTGTCCCTGTGGGAGGGGGAGCTTAAATGTCAGGCACAGAGGAAACTAGGGTGGCAGAGACATTGCTTTAAGAAAATGTGAGCTGGGGCATGAAGTAGGGAGTGATGTGCTGGGTCCTGCCTGATTCGGGCCCTTACTGTCAGACAGCACTTCATATGCCTCCGCCACCTCCTTAAATTTCTTCTCAGCAAATTCTTTATTATCTGGGTTTTTGTCTGGGTGCCACTGGAGAGCCTTGCGCCGATACCTGCAGAAAGTGGGTGCAGAGGAGCGGGTTGGGGGACAAATGCAGGCACTTCCCACCCAGGAACAGAACGACCCGTTTTCCCATTAGCCCATCACTGTCCTTTCACCGCCGTGTCCCAGTCCACCCCAGCTGCTAAGGCTGCCTCTGCTGTGATGTTTTCATCAAGTTCCACCCTCTCTCATCTGCCACCAGTGCTGGGACCACGTGTACAAGCGGATACAATGCCAAGGTGAGAAGGCCTATCCCTAGCCCCTCCCTAGGGCTCGCTGGACTGGGGCTGCAAAGCTTGGGGCATGTGTGGCCTCGAAGAGTACAGGGACACCGGCCCCTCCTTCTCACAGAGCCTCGGCATCTTTGCACTGCAGCCTGAGAATGCCCAAATCTAGAGGGAAGAGGGAACGGGGAAGGGGGAGGGGAAGGGAGGGGAGGGGAGGGGAGAGGAGGAGAAAGAGGGGAAGATCCACTGGAGAACAACTCGTAACACAGTGCAGCTCCCAGCGGAACTAACTACTTCACTCTCTGGACGTTCTGCTTGTACTCTACCAGGGGTCTCTTTCCTCCCTGCAGGTGTCACTCGGACGAAGCCCCCCACCCCAGGGCTTTCTAAGGACCTGGTTCCCTCAGACACCTACAGGTGTCACTCTGAAGTGCCCCATGGTGGTGGCGGGTGGAGGGTGAGAGGTTTTCTGTTGCACACGGAGGCACTTACGCCTTCTTGATGTCATCAGCAGACGCACTTCGCGGCACGTCTAGGATCTCGTAGTAGGATGCCATGGCAACTGGTCAATCGTCAAGCGGGCCTCCTTGGGGCTGCAGGAGAGAAGGAGTCAGGCGGAAAAAACCAAGAGCCCCTCCCTGTGGCTGCAGCAGTCTCCCCCGGGTGGCGGGAGGCGCTCCCAGTTGGAAGTGGAGCCCACCAGGCTCTGCTTGCGGCCGGTGACTAGGCTCCCTCCCGCAGCCTTATCTGCCCCCGAAGGCCGGGGCCAAGAGCTATCTTGACGCCCAGGCCCAGGAGCCCTATCGGGGCCCCCCAACTCCAGCAGTCCGACCCAGGGCCCCCAGCCTGACCCGGGCCCCCGGCTGCACCTCCTCCGCCGGGAGTCCCGGCCTCTTGCGGCGCCCCGCCCCTGCCCCCCGCCGGGAACCGTCTGGCACCCGCAGCCCGGCTCGCGGCTGCTGCGTAGGACGCGCCCGGCCCAGCTGTGCGAGCAGGCATGCGTCAGCGGCGCGGAAACTACTAGAGACCGGGAGAAGGCCCGCTCCGCCAGTCCCCTGGCGGGGGTGGGGGCCTGCAGGGGCTGCCGGGAGAAGAGGGCGGAGCCAGCTATTTTGGGCACGCACCAGGACGACGTCAGCCCCAGCTGGGACCTGGGAGACTGCTGCCCCGCCTCCATCCAGGCGAGACTTGCTCGCACGGAAGCTGGGGCAGCCCACAAACAAGCCGCCCGGCCCCCAGGTCCCTCTGTCACTTTCTTATAAACATGAGCGATGATCCATGCTTACTCACCCACCTCGAGGACTCGTACTCCTCCCTCCCTCCCCCGACCACAATTCTAACTCCTCCCCCTTCTTCAGCTCCCAGCTCCAGCCCCAGGTCCCCCAGCAGGCTGCCCTGGCTTTCCTGAGTAGGTCAGAACTGCCTTTTACAGCATCTCGTGGCATTTCCTTCATCAGTCTTCTTAGAGCCACAAATTAGCATTTATTGGTTTGATTATTTTTTATTACCATTCACCTCACCCACTAGAATGTCGATTTCACAGGGCAGGAATTGTGTGTTTTTTCTCACTGGTCTATTAGAGCAGCTGTCGGGGTTCAAAACTACCCGTAGGATGAATAAATAATGAACATCTGCAAACCTCTTGTTGACAGTTTGGACACATTTGGGTGAGGTGAGGTAAAGGGGACAGTAGAACGGAATTCCCCAGGTTCAAGTCTTCCCAAACTGATCCTGACTAGGCCTATTCCACTGCAAAATGCTCCCTGGGTTCAGGCCTCATGGGAGGGTTAGGAAACCTTCCAGAATTGTCTCCTGCTTGATCCCATCCAGGCCAATCCACAGGCGTTAGCTGAGCATTTTTCTGCATTCAAGATGCTGCCAGACCGTATAAAGAAGAATGTGGCCCAAGTCCTGCCTTTGCAGAGCTTGAACTTGATAAGATACCAGCCCATCAGTGTGGCCCGCTGGGAAACCCAAGGCTTTGGAAACAGTACAACCTGGCATTACTGTGAGACTTGGGAAAATCTCTGAGCACTCTTTTTTTCTCACTAAATATAGGTAGTGCCTAGGGTTGTTTGAAAGTCAAATGAGACATGGTACATATTAGGTGTTACTGCGGTCCTCGCTGGCATCGTGATTGGCTCAAGCAATAATGGTTACGTGAGTCCAGAAAAGTGCTTTAGGCTGGGGGACCCAGAAACACTTCGCCAACGAGAAGGGCTTGAGACGGATGTAAGAGAAGAAGGTGGTGTGAGTGTCCTGTTTTCCTGGCCGCCCACCATCAGAACCTCCTGCCTACATTTGGGGAATTCCCATCGCACAGGCCCTAATGGGAAGCATGCCACCATTTGCCACAAAGCCCCAATGCTTGCTCTCCCTGACTCCGCTCTAGGGTTGCAGGCAGAAGACATGAGCTCCGCCAATCGGATGCTCCAACTGGGACTTTGAATCTGGAGCAAGTCACGGAGAAGCAGGGCTGGTTGAGGAATTCATTTCTGCGGCAGTGGTGGAGGCGATGGGGCCAACAGCGGCCTCTAGTGTCTGGAGGAGGAAATGTCAGTGCTAGTGCCGCAGGTGAGGGAGGAGACTAGGGGGATCACTGCGGAGGGTGGAGGGGACAGGAGTCTCCTACACAGGCTGTCCTGTGCCCAACCTTGAGTGTGGTGCTGGCTGCCCAGCTTCCCTGGGTGCCTGTCTGATTGCTGACCCTTGTTTGCTGGCCCTTGCATTGATTCCAGTGCCATCCGATATCTCTGTAATTGCTGGGGGCAGCGAACTTGAAACAATTTGCCAGTTAGCTTCTGCTGTTTACAAGAGTCCTGACGGACACAAAGACTAAGAGTTAGCCTTGGTATAAGAGGAAAGAGTGTTTGGGTTAAGTCACTCCAGATTTTCCAGATCTCTGCCTTTTTCTTCTTACTCTGCCGTCCCAACAGACATTTGTCTAGCACCTACCGTGTATGTCTTGTTATATTAAGAATAAGAATATAGCAGGGCGCGGTGGCTCACGCCTGTAATCCCAGCACTTTGCGAGGCCAAGGTGGGTGGATCACCTGAGGTCGGGAATTCAAGACCAGCCTGACCAACATGGAGAAACCCTGTCTCTACTAAAAATACAAAATTAACCAGGGTGGTGGTGCATGCCTGTAATCCCAGCTACTCGGGAGGCTGAGGCAGGAGAATCACTTGAACCCGGGAGGCAGAGGTTGCGGTGAGTCAAGATGGTGCCATTGCACTCCAGCCTGGGCAACAAGAGAGAAACTCCGTCTCAAAAAAATAAATAAATAAAATAAGAATATAAAGAAGCTTAAATTCCAGTCTCTGTGCTCAAGGGGATAGGACATAGACAAATGACAACCGAGGGAAATTATATGGAACACATCTAGCAGACAAAGGTTTAATTTCCTTTGTCCACAAAGAAATCCCAACTAATAAAAGACAATGCCATTTTTAAATGGACAGAGGGACAGGCAGCTCACAGAAGAGGAAATACTGGCTTTTAAACATATGAAAAGATGCTCAATCTCGTTCACAAAAAAAAACGTAAACCAAAGCTACAACAGGCCAGGCATGGTGGCTCATGCCTGTAATCCCAGCATTTTGAGAGACCAAGGCGGGTGGATCACCTGAGGTCACGAGTTTGAGACCAGCCTGGCCAATATGGTGAAAACCTGTCTCTACTAAAAATACAAAAAGTAGCCCGGTGTGGTGGTGTATGCCTGTAATCCCAGCTACTCGAGAGGCTGAGACAGGAAAATCACTTGAATCCAGGAGGCGGAGGTTGCAGTGAGCCAAGATCATGCCATTGCACTCCAGCCTGGGTGACAAGAGTGAAACTCCATCTAAATAATAATAAATTTTAAAAGAATAATAATAATAAAGCTACAGCAAAATACTTTGGGGTTTTGGGGGGGTTGGTTTTCTTTGTTTTGTTTTTTGAGGTGGAGTCTTGCTCTGCCACCCAGACTCGAATGCAATGGCACTATCTTGGCTCACTGCAACCTCCCAGGTTCAAGTAGTTCTCCTGCCTCAGCCTCCCAAGTAGCTGGGAGTACAGGCATGTGCCCGTAATTTTTGTGTTTTTTGTAGAGACGGATTTTCACCATGTTGGCCAGGCTGGTCTTGAACTCCTGGCCTCAGATGATCCACCTGCCTCGGCTTCCCAAAGTGCTGGGATTATAGGCCAGAGCCACCACACCTGAGCACATGGCCCCAACAAAATACTTTGTTTCTCTTATTGGATGATTGACAAAGACCAAAAAGTTGAATACATTGTATGGGCAAGGCTGAGGGCACAGGCCTTCTTATAGATTGATAGTGGGAGGGTGGGTAAGTTGGTGTGACTTTTTTTTTGAGACAGAATTTCGCTCTTGTTGCCCAGGCTGGAGTGCAATGGTGCAATCTTGGCTCACTGAAACCTCTGCTGCCTGGGTTCAAGCAATTCTCCTGCTTAGCCTCCCGAGTAGCTGGGATTGCAGGTGTGAGCCGCCGTGTCCGACCTGGTGTGACTTCTAAAGAGAGCAAGATTTAAAATGCATAATCTTTGACCCAGAAATCTCAATTCTAAGAATGTATGGTTATACATGAAAAAAAAAAAATACAAGTGTTGCAGCATTCTTTTTAATAGCAAAAGATTGGAAACAATCTAAATATCCATTAATAGCAGACTGGTAAAACAAGTGTTGGTATGATATATGATGGAATATTATATTGTGACCAAATAGAATGAGGCATAGCTAACGGTATTCATATGGACCATCTTCCAGATTTATTATTAAGTGAAAAAACAAGGTGTAGAACAAAGTGTATACTGAATGTGCATACAAGCATGGTAGTACAGATGGAGCATCCCTACTCCAAAAACCCAAAATCTGAAATGTTCAAAAATCCAAAACTTTTTGAGTACCTGACATGATGCCACAAGTGGAAAATTCCATACCTGACCTCATATACACAAACTGTTTCATGCACAAAATTATTTAAAACATAGGCCGGGCTCAATGGCTCAGGCCTGTAATTCCAGCACTTTGGGAGGCCAAGGCGGGAGGATTACCTGAGGTCAGGAGTTTGAGACCAGCCTGGCCAACATGATGAAACTCTGTCTCTACTAAAAATACAAAAATTAGCTGGGCATGGTGGCAGCCGCGTGTAATGCCAGCTACCCGGGAGGCTGAGACAGGAGAATCACTTGAACTTGGAAGGCAGAGGTGCAGTAAGCCAAGATCACACTATTGCACTCCAGCCTGGACAACAAGAGCGAAACTCCATCTCAAAAAACAAAACAAAACAAAACAAAACAAAACAAATATTTAAAACATTATACAACATTCCCTTCACGCAATGTGTATCAGGTGTATATGAAACGTAAGTAAATTTTATATTTAGACTTGGGTTTCAGTCCCAAGATATTTGGGATATTTCATTATGTATGCACAAATATTTCAAAATCTGAAAAAATCTGAAATCCTAAACACTTCTGTTCCCAAGCATTTCAGATAGGGGATATTCAACCTATACATATGTAGACATCTCTGGAAGGAAACACTAACAAAAACATTAACAGTGGTGGCTGCCAAGAGCGGAACAAGATGAAAGAGACTTATTTTTCTTGTTCCTAAATCTCTCTGATACTTTTCGAATTTTGAAACATATGCACCTAATAACTTCAAATTCATACTGATTGTTAAAAATTGAGTTGGGGGAAATAAGACATTGACAAGAAGCCAAGTGCTATCATACAAGGAAGCCCATGCCAGGCGCCAAATGAAAAAATAGAGACAGAGGTAGATGCTGAAAGAATCCAGAAGAGAGAGAGCTCCCTGGGGCTGGGTAGGTTCTGGATGGCTGTGACCTAAGCTGGAAGGAATGGCAACATTGAGACAAGCAGGGGGAGGTGGCGTTCCAGAAGGAGGGAATGGTGACAACACAGCTTTGAAGCCAGGCATGTTCCTGACACATCAGAGACCAGGGAATAAATTTGTTGGGTAGAATCTGAGCTTGGGAACCTGTTTCTTTTGTCTGCCTGCAGAAGGCAATTGTACTTTGGCTTTAGAAGTGTCGGGGATGAAAGCAT